CATCTTGTCCCCTCTGATCCAGTCGAAAGACACTTTGTGCATTTTCTTGTGGACACAATACAAATAATGTGTTCACCTAGAAAGAATAATAGCCACAGCTATCCAAATTCTGATATATTTCAACTGTATGTTTTAATTCAGTTGCTGTTAACTATTATTTTAAAATTCACATGTCAGTCCACAGCACTTATACTCCCTTTACAATGTTTAAAAACTAGCAAGGTCTCACTCTGGAATCACTCGTAAAATTATTCATAAATGTCACTTCAGCGAGCATCTAAACTTACAGTTAACAAACGTTTATAAAGCGATGATGGTTTGACAAAAGTGAATAAACTGTGGGACCCTTGCACATAACATAATCTCCGTAAAATACATTATGAATTTAATTACTGTGTAACTGTCATACATGAGGACTCCCAAGATGGTTTGTTTGTTAAATACTAGTTTAACTCCTGGATCCGCTTATAATGTGCACATTACACATAACAATGTTACGTAGGTTAAACTACTTCAGTTTGTGTTACACGCTGGAAAGTTTTGCTGAATGAATAAGTAGTACTTGGAGTGTACATTGAACTCAATATTCTGTTTAAACTCCAAGATTTTGTTTACAACTCATACTAAACAGGAATACCATAGCTGCATAACAGAACTGGTACAAAATTTGTGCGGTGGGGACCCATACTCTGTGCTGCATATATTTACACTTCCCGGTATTATGTGCAATTTCGAACTCTCCTAGTATTTCGGAATAAATATTATTTTTGAATATACTGACCGATCCTCCGACAGGGTAAAACCTTACATAAAACCGCATCTGTTGCTAAATTATTACAGTATGTTATGAATGACACACACAATTTGTTCGAATGTTAAAGTTCACCTTTCCCCAGGGCGTGTCCTTAATTGCAGCTAAACATCTGGCCAAATGTTGAACAGTCTTCCTGAAAAATAATTTCTCATCACAAGCCATGCTTAGCCGTAATGACCAAATCACCAAAATGTAATCCAGTCAGAAGATACTGAGAAGTTGCACTTTGGTAACATACGACATACAACTTCGAACCTTCATCTGCGCTTGCTTTACTGTCAACATACAAAATCGCTACGAACGTAATGTGCTGCCGCCCATGTAAAATTTACAAGTAAACACAACGGCGGCATACAGTGTAAGCAATAGCCCGGTCGGCAAAAACTACGTCTACTTTACAAACTTCAAACTTACTCATCCCGTCAAACATACCACAAAATAGTTTTTAAACCCTTATTACGTAAAGGTACTACCTCCGTCTTCAGGACAAATTAATGTAGCTTTGCATGGATTAGGTCTATACCTTTCCAACCTTGTGTAGGTCTCAACGCACATGTAATGTGTTACTATAAAAGAAAGCAGGCTTAAATAAGATATCACAGTCTTAAATTTTTTAGACTTAAAATTACAACTATTTGTTAATGACTTCATTATATTTTTGTTTCTTTTCATAAGGTCATTGACAATAAAGTTAAATTAACAAGTGGTCCTATTGGTGTTGTAAATTTCAAGGGGATTATTTTTATATACTGTATTTAATAAACCTTCTAAGAATTAAACCTGCAACAAGATGACAGATCTGCTCTTCTACCAATTAATAAACACAAATATATATACTGAAATACAGGCCTAGTGTTAAAAGACAGAATTTGTAGAGGAAAAGACATAATTTTATTAAACAATAAGTTATACAAAAATAAGAAACTTCCAATAGAAAAATAAATATTGAAGCAGCTTCATCACCTTACAAAGACAGGCAGTACACATTTTATGACTTCAATTTTATTTCCATTGAATTAGAAATTTGTTTGTATTCTTTTCTTCTCAAATCCAAGAGTATCTTTTGGGCTTTAATAGCATCTATTCATTCCACTGCCACATGTTGTTTAACTGAATGTGCTATGTTGAGTATGGCATACACCAACATTTTGGCTAAAGATACCACAACAAAGATGAATCATGCTGCCACGATATGCTAGTGATCTACACAATATGTATAATTGTGGCGACTGGATAAGGGTTGCCAATATCCTCTGTATTTATTTATTCATTCATTCAGCATGCCCCATTACAAGATTGTAATATTACATGCATTAATGTATAACACATGATTCATTGCCACCGTTTGTACCTATGTTCCTGTGCTAAACTGTATTATAATCTATGGATTTAATGAATGTATTAAAATGACCTAAATATTTTTGAACAAGTGCTTCATGTAACACTGGCCATGTGCCACCATTCTTGGCTATTGCATCTATTAATTTACGCCTTGGTTGTTGTAGTTTTTCGTCATCAATGATCCCAAACCTGTGTAGATATAATTTGTTTCTGCCATGTCCAGTCAATATTGCAGTTAGTTCGGGACGTATCACAATGTTTAGCTGCATTTGTTGTCGCACTGATGGGAAGAATTTCTTGCACACTGCTCCTTTATTGGTGGTGTTCCACTCATTTTGCCATTTTATAATCCCTTCTTCCTTTGCTTCTTTAATAATTGTACTTTTAGGCTTCTTTTGCATATACTAAATTTCCACCATTTTCTGCTGCTGCTGCTGCCTTCGTTAATCAGTCTGCTATTTCATTACCGAAAATTCCAATGTGTGCTTTGATCCACCCAAAATGAATAGTCCAATTTTGATCATCGAGTTTCCTTAATTTATTTCTTATCTTAGATATTATGAAGCCGTGTTTGAAGTTGTTTTTTAGTAGATCGAGAGAAACTTGACTGTGTATACCACTACTATTCTTTCCTCAATGCTGATGTCCCTTAAAGTTGTTACTGCATCCAAGGCCTCTAGAATTCCGATCTGCTCAGCTTGATTGTTTGAGCAATGATCAGGTAACTTGGTTTTTAAACTATGAATTAGTTCTCCATTTTTGAAGATAACAGCGGCAGCACTTACCTTTCCCTGGTGTTTACTTCCATCTATATAGATTTCCACAGTGTATTTATTGAAGTCTTTCACTTCATCAAGAGTTATTCTCTCCGCAGGATGAGGCCATTCCTTCTTGTTTAATGGTGCTTC